GATCAAATAGCATAGAAAAATAGAACATTCTTTTCTCTATCAGACTATATAAAAAGAAAGTTTCTTTAACCTTTCTATAAGGGATAAAAATACCACTGCCACTACTTTTGGTATGCCCTAAGTACAAAAATAAAAATATAATAAGTCTCAACTTTTAAAGTGATAATATAACTTTCAACTAAACCTATATCATAAATATCAAAAGACATAATAAAAAAAATAAATAATAAAACAAAAAGATTAATCTTACCTCAACTAAAATCAACTAAAGAACAAGAAATATACAAAACAAAAGCTGAAGTCCATGTGTAATAAGAATGCTCAAGGTACATCTTTTCAATGAAAGAAGTTGATGGAGAAAATTTGAGAACAATTTGAAATGAGATTCAACTTACCATTATCGTTTAACCAACTAATAACAAATCTCTAGTATGTCTTTCATACAGAAGAAATTGATCATCGCGTAATGAAATAAGTGAAAGAAGATTACTCTCATCGAATGGTAGAACAATACTTTTTATTACATTCGTATTTGCTGTATCACATAATTCAAATACGAGAGCATTCGACGAATTATATGTAATAAGACCGAGGCATGTGCCATTGATATCAAATTCAATTTGAGAAATGTGTTGATACTGTTGATTTTGATACATTTGTTTTAATTTCCAGTCTGATGATGATATATTGTATTCTTCAACTGTTCCATAATCACCCACAATCAGTGTACGATCATAACCAATTCTTTAATTTTTTTTGAATCTTTTCTGTATTGACATCAAGTGAATCAAATGGTTTTTGAACCAAAATAAGAAATTGATTTCGATATGATGACCAACAAATTGTATCGATGTGTAGAAGATCGAAACGATCGAAGTTTAACTGTTCTTCACCATCCATTCAGCATACGTAAACTACGAACTATCTCGGAACCTTGTTCATTAGAATAAGATTCATGGTCATTTGAGCAATACAATATACCCGTATCATTGGCAGCAATTGAACCGGAATCCCCTGGAACATCTAAACATAATTTTGGTTTCTGCTGTAGACTATCAAAATTCAATTTTGATCTTGACACGATTAAAATAAACCGAATCTGAGATGAGGTGGTTGTGAATAAATGGAAATTTTTCATTCTGGTTGGAATTGGGACCGAGACTCTGACTCTGAAGACGTTTAGAAAAAAAAAATTTTCTATCATGGTTTGAACTCGAATTGCGATACATCGGACTTCGAATTGAAATTGGGACAGGCACTTTACCGTAAAAGTTTATAAAAAAAATAGAACTTTTCATGCTAGTTTGAATTCGAGTTGGAACGGACAATTTACTGTAAAAGGTTAGAAAAACAGAAAGTTTTGTTCGAATTCGAATCGGGATAGACAAGGAAAAACATACATCAGAAAGAAATTCTGGTGGCCGAGGTAGAGTGACCAAAAATCTGCCGAAAAGCCAGTTTTACGAAAATTAGGGCTTTCAGGCTATATTAAAAAATTCTAGAATGCCGAGTGTTTAAGCTATTCTAATATGCTATTTATAGGAGATCTCAAAAGAAACAACAAGACTTTTCGACAACTTCTTTTGAGATCTCCTAGATCTTGTTGATCTCCTGGTCTTGTTTGCAGAAATATTCTTTTCGTTCTCTATTTTTGTCCATTGTTAGTCGTTGTGATTGTCGTCGTTTGATGAGGATGTCTTTGTATTACTATTCATTCAAAAATACAGTGGACTCGGTCGTAAAATCAATAACTCTAGAACGGAACCAGCTAGAAACCTGACATTTTTAGTAGATAAAGACAATGAATAACTTTATCAAACCATGTGAAAATGAGTTGACTAACGTATGTTCGAGTGGTCACTCAGTAGTCAAGCTATTCCCTGGCAGTGGCCTGAGAAATTTTTGGTCACAATGATTCCAATACAGGAAAGTGCTGTTTTCGATGACTGTATATAACACATCAAAGAACACATAAACTGTACTAATTAATTATAGGCAGTAGCCAACACTACTTCTTTTGAACAGAAAATAAACGAGCATGTCAACATGCTGGTATGAAAAATAAAATACGAGCTGATGAGTATACATTTCCAGAAAGTGACTGAAACATGGTATCTCAGGAAGCGAAAGATTTAGTTCGAATGATGCTAACTGTTGAACCAGCAAATAGAGCAACCATTAATCAAATATTAGAAAATCGATGGTTATCAGAATATAACAGTGTCCTACAGGCACCACTGAATACGCCTCAGGTACTGGCGGAAGAAGCACTACAACGGCCCGCCGTCACAGTGGCAATTATAAATGCTAATGGCGATAATCGATTAGAGGATACAGACGCCGACGGTAATAATAGCATAATCTTTTCAATTACAAACAATACTTTATTTCAACGACGACACAGACGGCGTGCCCTTAGAGACGTTGTCTACTACATGTATTCTGATGTTCTTTGACCTTTTTATGTTTTTTATAAAACTAGTATATTTAATAGAACTAAAAAAGATTTTCGTAAATACTAGCCTGATAAGGATAGTGTGAAGTATCGAAAGCGCACCTTTTATGTAAAATGATTTTACGAAAACGTTTTTCAATTATGTTAAATATACCACATGTATTGATAAACATTAACGGAGCGTATTCTTTTCTATCAAGGCTCGATTATCAGAGAGTGCTGACAAGTCTCGTTAATATAAGAATATCTTTCCAGATAACATTTCGTTGTAAAAGCTATTTTAAAAGCTGTGACCTTTTGACATTCTATCTGTTCGCACATCACACGAGGTTTCACAAATCACACATTTATGAAACTTTTTACAAGTTTCATAAATGTGTGATTTATGTTGTTTCAGGTTTAATTAATTAGTTCCTTAATTAATTGTAGTATTAATATGTCACATGGAGACATATAACATTATATAATTGGTATATGTCACGTAGAGACGTGTGTTTGTGGCGTTTTAATTGAAAGTAATGATTTATTTAATTAAAAACAGTATCAATGTGTCTCTAGGTGCTATGTGAAGCACGCAGAGACAGTGACTCAACCAAACAGAGCTGTCTCACCAAGATAGGTATGAGTTACTCAGAGACATAGACTGATTCAAATAAAAATATGGAATTTTATTCTAAAACCCTATATACAAGTCTCTAAGTAAAATGTGAGTCTCTCACAGGCATATGCTTACTCGTACAAAAATCGGTATTCCTATACCAACAGGGCTATGTATAAGTCTCTAAGAGAGACATAAGTCTCCAAGAGCGTCTCTCAGAGACATGTAAACGAATAAAAAGTTGTGTCTTTTTTATTATGTGAAGGTGTAGAAGGTAAATTCAAGCGTGGGTATCAGAAAAACATGTCTTGTAAATGTAAAAAATATTTTTTGTTGAATAGTAATAAACGTTAGTATAGTTATTAGTTTAACGTGTGACTGTCGCTGTGTGTCTACTTTCTTAAATTGGGAAGTTTGTTTATTAAGAAGCGTAGTGAGTTGTATCAGATGTATCCGTATATCTGAACGGGAGAGATATGTGATCGTACATGTTGTTGGTAAAGACAGATCAATTGTGTGGACCATGTTTGTTGTTGTTGGTGAAGATAGCTCATTCTTTTCATGTTCATACTGCACTGGTGTCTTCATCAACTCACCAATGATAGTTGGACCTATTTAATCAATGACCAGTAAATGAAGTGTTTTAATGAAAAGACATTACTTTGTGGTTGTGGCAAATTGCTTTCCTGACCTTCATTGGGATTTGTTTTCTATTTTATGAAAGAGAAAATGTTGTTTTGTTAGTCTATTTCAATAAAGAATGGTACGTACATCAATTAAAGCGGTATTAGGAGGATCCGGTGTGACCGATGTTGATGAATTAGCCGTAACGTCTCCTTTATAAAAGTCAAAAGAATAGGATGTTCTTCAAGTTATTTACTTATGTGTGATAACTACGTGTATTTTCGTTTCAAGCTGTACTACTGCTTGACAAAATTCTTCATCAACAAATAGTTTATCGATTTAATCGAACGTTGTATCTGTATTTCGTTCTTCTTCCATAAATAGTGTAATCTAGAAGATAAAAAATTCGTTTTTCAATTCAATTTTAATTCTCAGTGTTGTCAAAACAGTTGTGAATCATACTATTCGTATTAGGGCTCTGCTTTATTCAAATATTAAGATGAGAAAAAGAGTATTCGCATAGTCTGAGTGTTGTGAAATAAAAGACTATGTTTGTAACAATCGCATTGGTCTTGTTTGCAGAAATATTCTTTTCGTTCTCTATTTTTGTCCATTGTTAGTCGTTGTGATTGTCGTCGTTTGATGAGGATGTCTTTGTATTACTATTCATTCAAAAATACAGTGGACTCGGTCGTAAAATCAATAACTCTAGAACGGAACCAGCTAGAAACCTGACATTTTTAGTAGATAAAGACAATGAATAACTTTATCAAACCATGTGAAAATGAGTTGACTAACGTATGTTCGAGTGGTCACTCAGTAGTCAAGCTATTCCCTGGCAGTGGCCTGAGAAATTTTTGGTCACAATGATTCCAATACAGGAATGTGCTATTTTCGACGACTGGACAGGGTCTGCAGTCAGCATTGTCCAGTTCTGGAATGCAAGCAGATAAAAATCTGAACTTTTCAGAGAATGAAGAAAAGAGGTCCCTGTATCGAATCCACTTTCAAGAAAAAACATTGGTATGACCAAAATTTTCTCAGGGCACTGTCCGAGAATAATTTGATCACTCCAATATACGTTGATCAACTCATTTTTACATGATTTGATAAAGTTATTCATTCTCTTTATATACTAAAAGTTTCAGGTCTCTAGCTGGTTCCGTTCTAGAGTTATTGATTTTACAACCGAGTCCACTGTATTTTTGAACGGATAGTAGTTTAAAAGTTTAATGTAAATCTATGTGATATTAGATGAATATTTTTACTTATTGTTGACACATTGGCAATGTTTTTTGTATTTTATATGTGTTACTAGTCGTACGGCGTATTTATAACCATTGTGTAAATATTATGATGTTAAGTCGTGTTTTTTTTATAATATACACAATATTTAATTACCATAATTTTTGGAGTAAATAAATAATAAAACTAATATATTATATAGCCAAATAAAACGCCAATTATACTCCTGCCGCTAGGCAGGAACTGTAATGGCAGAAACGATACCAGAATATAATTATACATTTAAACACTTCCTCTTAGAATAATTTGATGTAATAATATGCAAAATATAACTATTTGCACGTTTTTAAGAAGAAAAGTATCTACTTTGCATTAAACTATTCTATAAAACCTGATCAAGTCTGCTGCTGCTTCGTTATTTTGTTGACAGCAATCGAGGTAGGTTGTTTGAATGGAACATCCAAAATGGCAGTATAGTCACTTTACCCTACA